ATTCAGGAGACACAGGTTCGATCCCTGGTCCAAGATCCCACATGCCACAAGGCAATTAAGCCCATGCACCACAACTTCTGAGCCTGTGCTCACAATAAGGAGAGCCACTGCAACGAGAAGATGGCCCACCCCAACCAGAGAGGAGTCCCTCCTCGTCACAAATAGAAGAAGCCCATGAGCAGCAATGAAGACCCAACGCAGCCAAAAATAAACAAATTTAAAAAACAATTTTTTTAAAGAAAAGCTCACACACAAAAAAAAATAAAGAAAAGCTCACCTTTGCTCAACTCACCTATTACACATAAACCAGCACTATGACTAGAAATAAAACTAAGATACTCTCTAAGTCATTCACTTAGACTATTACCTCACTGGCCCACATCAGTACAGTTCCAGGTCACTCAATCAAAAATCTCTGTGTAATAACATTCCTAAGCTTTGGTGGCTAGCCATGCACTTTAAGAAACAGGTAATCTCATCAGCGGCATCCCTGAAAAGTTCACAGCGACAGCACCGGTTTAGGTGACCTCATCTCACCACCCAAGGAAGTGGTATAAACTGATTCTAGAACTATCATTCAGGTAACAGCTGCATACTTCTTTTCCAAATGCTTCTTGTATCCCAACAACTCTGTGCTACCCTCTAAAGAGATGCCAGCATCCTCTTACTGGGCCCTCGCCTACCAGAAGGCTAACTTTCCTTCCCATGATGACCCAGAGGCCCACCACTGACAGCTCATCTTTACAGTGGAAGTAACAGATGGATTCAAGGGATAAGATCTAACTGACAGAGTGCCTGAAGAACTACGTACGGAGGTTCGTAACATGGTATAGGAGGCAGTGACCAAAACCATCCGCAAGAAAAAGAAATGCAACAAGGCAAAATGGAGGCCTTACAAACAGCTGAGGAAAGAAGAGAAGTGAAAGGCAAGGGAGAAAAATAAAGAGATGCCCGTCTGAACACAGAATCCCAACAACAGAGAGAGAGAAGAAAGCCTTCTCTCCCCTGACGGCTCAAACAGTAAAATGCCTGCCTGAAATGCGGGAGACCCGGGTTTGATCCCTGGGTCAGGAAGATCCCCTGAGGTGGCGGCTACCCACTCCAGGGGAGAATTCCATGGACAGAGGAACCTAGTGGGCTACAGTTCATGGGGTCGCAAAGAGTCGGACACAACTGAGAGACCAGACTAACACTTTCCCTTTTACTTTCAGTGAACAATGCAAAGAAACAGAGAAAAACAACAGAATGGGAAAGACTTGAGAGCTTTTCAAGGGCATTAGAGATACCAAGGGAATATTTCAGCAAAAATGGGCACAATAAAGGACAGAGACGATACGGACCTAACAGAAGCAGAAGATATTAAGCAGAGGTGAAGAAAACACACAGAAGAACTCTACAAAAAAGATCTTAATGACCTGGATAACCAGGATGGTGTGATCACTCACCTAGAGCCAGACATTCTGGAGTGTAGTGTCAAGTAGGCCTTAGGAAACATTATTACCAACAAAACTAGCAGAGGTGACAAAATCCCAGCTGAGCTATTTCAAATCCTAAAAGATGATGCTATTAAAGTGCTGCACTCAATATGCCAGCAAATTCAGAAAAGTCAGCAGTGGCCACAAGACTGGAAAAGGTCAGCTTTCATTCCAATCCCAAAGAAGCGCAATGCCAAAGAATGCTCAAACTACTGCACAACTACACTCATTTCACATTCTAGCAAAGTAATGCCCAATATCCTTCAAGAGAGGCTTCAACAGTACATGAACTGAGAACTTTCAGAAGTACAAGCTGAATTTAAAAAAGGCAGAGGAACCAGAGATGAAATTGCCAACATCTGCTGGATCACAGAAAAAGCTAAAGAATTCCAGAAAAACATCTACTTCTGATTCATGACTATACTAAAGCCTTGACTGTGTTGATTACCACCAACTATGGAAAAATTCTTAAAAAGATGGGAATACCAGACCACCTTACCTGCCTTCTGAGAAACCAACAGAAGCAAAGAAACCAAGAAGCAAAACTTAGAACCAGACATGGAACATTGGACTGGTTCGAAATTTGAAAGGAGTACATCAAGACTGTATACGGTCACCCTGCTGATTTAATTTATATGCAGAGTACACCATGCAAAATGACTGGCTGGATGAAGCACAAGCTGGAATCAACATTGCCGGAGAAATATCAATAACCTCAGATATGCAGATGACAACACCCTTATGACAGAAAGTGAAGAGGAACTGAAGAGCCTCTTGATGAAAATGAAAGAGGAGAGTGAAAAAGCTGGCTTAAAACTCAACATTCAAAAAACTAAGATCATGACATCCAGTCCCATCACTTCATGGCAAATAGAAGGGGAAAAAAATGCAAACAGTGACAGAATTTATTTTCTTGAGCTCCAAAATCACTGCAGATGGTGACTGCAGCCATGAAATTAAAAGTTATGCTTGCACCCTGGAAGAAAAGCTATGACAAACCTAGACAGCGTATTAAAAAGCAGAAATATTACTTTGCCAACAAAGGTCTGTATAGTCAAAGCTATGGTTTTTCCAGTAGTCATGTATGGATGTGAGAGCTGGACTATAAAGAAGGTGGGGCACCAGAGAATTGATGCTTTTGAACCACTGCTGGAGAAGATTCCAGAGAGTCCCTTGGAGAGCAAGATCAAACCAGTCAATCCTAAAGGAAATCAACCCTGAATATTAATTGGAAGGACTGATGCTGAAGTTCCAATACTCTGGCCACCTGATGGGAAGAGCTGATTCACTGGGAAAAACTCTGATGCTGGGAAAGATTGAGGACAGGAGAATAAAGGGGTGACACACGATGAGATGGTTGGATGGCATCACCAACTCGATGAACACGAGTTTGAGCAAACTGGGAGAGAGTAAAGGACAAGGAAGCCTGGCGTGCTGCCACTCATGGAGTCGCAAGGAGGAGGACATGACTGAGCAACTGAACAACAACTGGCTCGTAAAGTGGCATGGTGACTCGAGATACCTCTGGTTATACCTGAGCTCCAACACACTATAAGCGTTCCTGTCATATCCTGACAGCGCCCTCCAGTCTCTCTGGAATGCCAAGCCAAGTATTACCATTATCTTCCAGACTTTTATCCAATAGCCAAATGAAGAAACTTCAAGTGCTGCTGCTGCTCTGACTTTTTCTGGTTAGTACGACCATCAGAGAGAAGGCAGCTTCCAAAGAGAACACTGCCCATACGGCCACACAGTGCCATGAACAGAGCCCTTCAGAAACAGACGTCCTGTGGTAGAGACTGTTGCTAAGAGAAAAGGAGGCTCTGCCCACAGGTCAGTTTCAAGTGCTGGCTCCGCGGGGTGACCTGACCTCCTGTGCCTCGTGTCCTCCCTGAAAACTGGGACAAGGAGCACTCCCAGGAGAGCTGCTGTGAGGATGCCTCGAGCTGCCCTCTATGTTAGGAGCCCGGGACAGGGCTGGCACAACCTCTCCTCAGAGGTCCTGACGGCAGAGAGAAGGAAACAGAGACACGGCCAGCGTGCCGCCGAGGCCGGGCTCAGCAGTGGCCGGGGGCAGGCACAGCGTGCTCAAGGGAGCGGACCAGAGCCTCTCCCGGAGCCAGCTTCAGTGGCATCACACTGGTAGCTAAAGGTGGACATGAGGGAAGTTCTGCATTGCAGAATCAACAGATGCTGTAAGCAAGGAGGATTCTGACTCTCCCAGAGAATCAGTAGTTAAACATTTATCAACACACCACTGAAACCTCACTGGTCCGGGAAAAAATGACAATGCGAGTCCATGGAGAGCAGTGGATACCTGGACAATCAATCAATCCACAAACAAGATCATGTCTATACTGGACATAGTCCACTGGGGGCGGCAGGAGGGAGCACCAGAGAAAGGAGGTGGTAGCAGGAACAGATGAATAAAAATCTAAAATCAGAAGTGAAAAGAAGAAATTACCACAAACATAAAGGTAAGTTTAAATGATTACCAAAGAATAGTTTACCTAAGACTACACTGAACCATCTGGACTCTGGAAACCCACAGTCAAAGCCCTGTCAGATGCAGAACTGGCCAGAACCGGCCTCCAGAAGAGGGTGGACATGAGTCTGAGCAAACTCCAGGAGATAGTGAAGGACAGGGAAGCCCAGTGTGCTGCAGTCCATGGCGCTGAAGAGTCAGACATGACTTAGAGACTGAAGAACAAATCTCTTTTGACTTTTGAAGAGAGAGCTTCATTTTTTTTTAAGTTTTACTTATTTACTTAGCTGGTTGCGATGGCTCTTACTTGCGGCACTCAGGATCTTCGCTGCGCCGTGAGGGATCTTTCATCACAATGCACGGATTCCGATGTAGCACGCGGATTCTCAGTGCAGTAAGCAGACTCTCAACGCAGTGCACGGATTCTCAACGCAGTGCACGGATTCTCAACGCAGTGCACGGATTCTCAACGCAGTGTACGGGCTTAGTTGCTCCACAGCATGTGGAATCTTAGTTCCCAGACCAAGGATTCTTGCCCACTGGACAAGCAGGGAAGTCCTCTTAGCTTAATTTTTAAAGCACTGAAGCACTCACAATAAGTTATAACTATCGTAATTTATCCAGCATCTAACTGGATTGGAATGGGAGAGCCTCTCAGGAGCTTCTACCACTGCTGGAGGCACAAGTCCTTCCCTCCCTGCCCACTGCCTGTATGGACTACGCTCTGACAGTGTCCATGCTCACATCTAAGCCTATGCCAGCCGCTCCACACAAGTCACACAGAGCACTTACCGCACGACACACACACGACCGTCTCTGATTTATCTGGATTATACTTTGGCTGAGAGAGATCAAGTCATCTTTCCACAACACAGCACCTCAAAACCAGACACACAAGGGCCAAAGAAAACCCAAAGTCAGGAGACCATATACACATCTTTCAAAACTGAGATTTTTGTTGTCATTCATCCTTGAATGTCTCCTCATACCGTGTATTTGTACATACCACACAATTAACGAGAACCAAAAACAATTCTTACCTTCTGTGCAAATTCCTTGTTTAAATTTTATATTTAGGCAAGATATAAAAACATTTGGGATTTTTTCTTGGAGTATATGCAACTTTAAGAAAAAATTTTTCATTCAGTAGATGTATAATTTCTTCACCTGAAAAATGAGAGGAAAAAAAACGTAAGTTCTACAGCTTTAAAGTCAACTCACCAAAATGATACAGAAAACCAAAGTTATTACCTTTACTAAGAATTCAGATTATCAGAACAATTTGTGACCAAGGATCTAAAAACTCCCTTGTCCTTGTTCGACAGGGACTGGTACCAGTGACACACACCCATCCTCTGGCTGGTTAGCCAGCTCAATGGCTGGAACTCAAGGACACGAGAAGGGTCTCTGTGAAGCTGTGCAGTTTCATGCCTACACACTATCAACATCAGCAAACACCCATCCTGATCACAAGATGACAGGACAACTTCCCTCACGACTTCCAGAAAAAAAGGACTCCAAAGTGCTCCAGGTGGGATTGCTAAACATCATTTCCAAACAATGACTAGCACTCCTTGGTGAAAATCCTGACTTCAAGGCGTGCAGCAAAAACGTGGACCAAGAGAGCCCCCAGCTGTTCACTCTTTATTTGTATAAAAGTCATGATTTTACCATTTGAAAGTCATACTTCAGTAATAAGGAGGGATGACCGTTCTAGAATATCTAAGAGCCTTAAGAGACTGAATCATCAAATACAGTATTTAAATCTTGTTTGGGTCCAATTAAAATGAATCAACTTGAAGAGTGTATTTTTGATATTACTGGGGAAATCTAAATACAGACTGGTATTAGTACTAAGGAATTATTGTACATCTCTTAGTTGTAAAAATAACATGGTCACTATGTTTTTAAAAACAAAAACCTCCCTTATCTGGCAGAAAAAATGAAGTATTCATGGGTGAAATGATATATTTTTGGGGTTTACTTCTAAAACACTTTACCAAAACACAAGAGCCAAACAAATTTTAAAGGTGTGAGAGAACACCACCACCAACAAAAAAACAATTGGCCAAGTACTGATCACTGATCAAGCTGGGAAATGAGAACAAGGGTATTCAGCGTTTTCTGGTGTATTTTTAAATTTCATATAAAAAGAAAAAAAAGCACTTGGAACTGTGCTAGTAAGCCAGCAGTAAGTCCATGTCACACCCTCAGACAGGGAAACAGCTTTTAAAACTGAAACAGAACGAAGGACCCTTCCTTTAACAGAGTCAGGAGGTCCAAGGGGGGCCTCAGCCGGCATTACTGGGTGAGTCACAGACCCCCATGGAGGAAGGCTTCCCATTTGCCCAGCAACTCAGTCAGTAACAAACCATCAGCACCCTGAACTCTCATTTCCTCCAAGGACTTTTGTTCAAGAGTCCCTCCCAACTTTCTCCTTTTTCTCTGCATAGTAACCTTCGTCTTCTTTGTCTGGGAGACTTGCCTATGGCTTTAGCTATTGCTTGGTTGTCCCCAACTGCTATTCTCAAGCTCCCAGCCAATTCAAAATTGGCTTTTCAGCACTTTATACAGTTTCAAAATAAAGAAGTCTCTCTATAAGGACTCTTAGACCTGTTTATTCTGACTCTGAACAGGATACTTTTATAACTTTGCATCTTCTTGACACATTCTTCTCAGTGTGAGCTGGAGGAAGCCCAACAGCCGGGACATGGCGTGGTGCGGCCAGGGGACGGGGGCGGGGTTACAGCCAGGGAACTGGGGAACTGAGGGGGGTGCAGTCAGAGAATGGTGGGGGGGGTGCAGGATACGGGGTGTATAGCCAGGACATGGGGGTGCAGCTGGGGAATGGAGGTACAGCCGGGGAACGGGGCGGGGGGGACGGTATGCAGCCGAGGAACAGGAGATGAGGCTCCTCAGCACGCACCCCATGTTCGCACTGCCTGGCAGCGCCACCCTCTCCCACTCCCTCCCTCCCGAGGCCAGCACCCTGTCCTCCTGCCCAGACCGCAGCAGGCTCTCGGATCTGGTCAGCAGCCTGCTTTTCCTCTGACCCCTTTCTCCCAAGCCCTACCCCACCTCGTTCCCTAAACACACGCATTCCCTGAGGTCCACACAGGCACCCCGAACTGGACAGGGGGCAGGCAGCACTCTCACAGGCCCAGCACCCGCTTCTGTGCCTCCTAATGCCTTCATTCAAGGATCTGTTTTTGATACTTTTGCTTCTAGCCGAGATGAAATAACAGGGACCAGATTTACAAATGAAATGGTTCTCAGGATACTGGCTACCTGGCAGTGGAAACAGTGATCCCTCAAGGAGGGAACAAGAGGAGCCCATCAGCTGCCCAGCTTCCTGCCTGACAAGAGTTTTGGGTCACAGCAGAGGAACCAGGTGGGTCGAGCAGTCCCCGAGGGGAAGAAAGAGAGCAGGAGTCCAGGGGGCAAGGCGCGAGCGTTCCCAAGCAGAGCACAGGGTGACAGAGGCGCAGACTGCGCCAAGGATGCACCTGCTCCGGCCAGGTACTGCTCAGCCCAAGTGTGTGAGAACAGCAGCCAAGTCCAGGATTAGTGGGAACGATCCTCCAAGTTCACAGGGGGTCAAGGAGAGTTATTCCTCCTCCCAGTCACAGTGGCTATTTTCCTAACTTCAGGGCATTGCACAAAGTATTCAGAAGCCTCAGTGGTGGGGCAAAATGAGACCTGGACTCAACATTACTGTGGTCCCACCTGACAAAGCCTAAAAGCCAGACCCACAGAATCTAGCTCAGTTGGTAAAGAATCCCCCTGCAATGCAGGAGACCCTGGTTTGATTCCTAGGTTGGGAAGATCCGCTGGAGAAGGGAAAAGCTACCCACTCCAGTATTCTGGCCTGGAGAATTCCATGGACAGAGGAGCCTGGCAGGTTACCTATCATCCATGGGGTCGCAAAGAGTCAGACACAACTGAGTGACTTTCACTTCACTTCATTTCACAGAATTAAACTCCTTCCAAGTAATTTAACAACATTCCAGAACAAAGGTCAAGAAAACAAATGTATAGAAAACAAAAATACCCAGCATCCAACAGGATAAAAGTCACACTATCTTGGCATCCAATCAAAAACGACCAGATATGCAAGGAAGAAGGAAAACACAAACCATAATCCACTCAGAAATGACACAGACACTAAAATTAATAGGCAAGCACATTAAGCAGTTGTTGTAACTGTATTCCATATGTTCAAAAACCTAGAGGGAAGATGAGACATGTTAGAGACACGAAAGACACTCAAAAGACCCAAAGAGAATCACAAACATACTCTCAATCCAACAAAAGCCAGAGAGAGAGGACAAGGGCCCCAAGAGCACACGGTGAGCCCCGACTCCAGGACACGCCGGGGCACCAGGCACCGCCTCACTCTCAGCATACCCCTACTCCCCCTACCTGCCCCGCACCCCTACTTCCTGACTCACTGCCAGCCTCTACAGCGGACACCTCAGCACATGGGCCTCTGCCTGAAACACCCTTCCTCCACCTTCCTTACCTGGCAAATTCCTATCTGCCCCTCAAGCCCAAAATTCAAAGACAACCACTTTTTTTTTTTTTTCCATTTATTTTCACTAGCTGGAGGCCAATCACTCCACAACATTGCAGTGGTTCTTGTCATACATTGAAATGAATCAGCCATGGATTTACATGTATTCCCCATCCCGGTCCCCCCTCCCACTTCCCTCTCCACCCCATCCCTCTGGGTCTTCCCAGTGCACCAGGCCTGAGCACTTGTCTCATGCATCCAACCTGGGCTGGTGATCTGTTTCACCCTAGATATACATGTTTCGATGCTGTTCTCTTGAAACATCCCACCCTCGCCTTCTCCCAGAGTCCACAAGTCTGTTCTATACATCTGAGTCTCTTTTTCTGTTTTGCATATAGGGTTATCGTTACCATCTTTCTAAATTCCATATATATGTGTTAGTATACTGTAATGGTCTTTATCTTTCTGGCTTACTTCGCTCTGTATAATGGGCTCCAGTTTCATCCATCTCATTAGAACTGATTCAAATGAATTCTTTTTAATGGCTGAGTAATATTCCATGGTGTATATGTACCACAGCTTCCTCATCCATTCGTCTGCTGATGGGCATCTAGGTTGCTTCCATGTCCTGGCTATTATAAACAGTGCTGCGATGAACATTGGGGTGCACGTGTCTCTTTCAGATCTGGTTTCCTTGGTGTGTATGCCCAGAAGTGGGATTGCTGGGTCATATGGCAGTTCTATTTCCAGCTTTTTAAGAAATCTCCACACTGTTTTCCATAGTGGCTGTACTAGTTTGCATTCCCACCAACAGTGTAAGAGGGTTCCCTTTTCTCCACACCCTCTCCAGCATTTATTGCTTGTAGACTTTTGGATAGCAGCCATCCTGACTGGCGTGTAATGGTACCTCATTGTGGTTTTGATTTGCATTTCTCTGATAATGAGTGATGTTGAGCATCTTTTCATGTGTTTGTTAGCCATCTGTATGTCTTCCTTGGAGAAATGTCTGTTTAGTTCTTTGGCCCATTTTTTGATTGGGTCATTTATTTTTCTGGAGTTGAGCTGGAGGAGTTGCTTGTATATTTTTGAGATTAATCCTTTGTCTGTTGCTTCGTTTGCTATTATTTTCTCCCAATCTGAGGGCTGTCTTTTCACCTTGCTTATAGTTTCCTTTGTTGTGCAAAAGCTTTTAAGTTTCATTAGGTCCCATTTGTTTATTTTTGCTTTTGTTTCTAAAATTCTGGGATGTGGGTCATAGAGGATCCTGCTGTGATTTATGTCGGAGAGTGTTTTGCCTATGTTCTCCTCTAGGAGTTTTATAGTTTCTGGTCTTACATTTAGATCTTTAATCCATTTTGAGTTTATTTTTGTGTATGGTGTTAGAAAGTGTTCTAGTTTCATTCTTTTACAGGTGGTTGACCAGTTTTCCCAGCACCACTTGTTAAAGAGGTAAGACAACCACTTTTATCAGGCTTTCTTGAGTCCTTCCTCAGCACTATTACATGAGAATCAACACACTATAATCTAGTTTTAAGTATTTTTTATTTATCTTCAATCATGAAAAAAATATTTAAAACACTAAAAAGTCCAGAGAAAAATATTACAATATTCATGTATTGAGATCTAATAAATGTTAACTATTTGCTTACATATG